GCCCAGAGGCTTGGCTTGATCCACCCCTTATTTCATGACAAACATTAGGCTATTCAAAACCTATGTTTGCCTTTTATAAACTGTACCTCCTGGGTTATCACCTAATCTAGAGTACACTGAGGATGGGGCGGGCGAGGAGCAGGCGTGAGAGCTCAACTGAGAGGGCCAAGCTTGTGGGGCTGAGCAGAGATCTGTGTGGGTGGAGATAGAGAATGTAGGGGAGGCGGGCCGGGCTGTGAGACATCATCCAGGCAGCAGTGTACTTGGCCTGGGGCCTGAGGAGCTTGGAATATTGGAGCTGGAGAGGCCTCCTGAGGCCATGTGGGCTGACCACCCTGTCCCTCCGACCCCATTTTAAAGATGAAGGCCGGCAGAATCAAGTGACCTGAAAGAAAGTATATATACATACTAAAAAAGGAGGAAGAATTTTATGTCCCTTTACAGAATGATCCTTTGCTTCAGGAAAAGCTCTCTCAATGGGTCGTATTTTTCTTTTTGTCGCTGACTGGTGACATCATCATCCTGGCCCAGGGTCGTTCTGAGGACCAGATTTGGAAACTGATCCTGAAGTCCTGCTCCTAACACTCCTTTTTCTCTGCAACCAGATTTGCAAAGCAAAGAAAGGGAACATCTGGGAGAATTTAGGTCAAAAGCAGTTTTATTGGTTAATTGATTTTAGAGAGAGGAAGGGAGAGAGAAAAACATCAGTTTATTGTTCCACCTATCTACGCATTCATTGGTTGATTCTTGTATGTGCCCTGACCAGGGATTGAACCTGCAACTTGGCATATCAGGATAATGCTCTAACCAACTGAGTTACCCAGCTAGGGCTATCAAAAGCAATTTTAAAATGACCTTAGTAGCCCCATAAACAGTCACAGCGGCCATCCGGGCCACAGGATCATAGCTGCTCACAACAGAGTGCAGGCAGGGTCTCTGCCAGGGTCCCTGGGGCCAGAGCTAACACTTGCCTCCTACTCAGCAAACCGTGGCAGGTTGGTGTGTAGGTAGATAGGCAGCTCATATCCTTGGCACACGAGACAGACTCTGGGAGTATTAATTCTGGAAAGACAGTAAGTATTCTGGGCCCTATCCTAGTGGAGAAAGGCTGTTTTTTAAATATCTCCTGACTCGAAGATCCTTAGAGAGTGGGAATGAAACTGGGGAAGGAAGCCCTTGAGTAGGTACTGGAGGAGGAATGAGTGGCTAGTTTAGTGCCAGGTACAGATTATGCACTCAGTAAACATTTGTGAATGATGTGTGGTATAGTTTATGATGGGTCTGGAACCAGCCACACAAGTCTGAATTCTGGTTCTACCACTAAATGTGTGCTTCAGGTACTTCTTTAATGATTCCAAACTTCAGGGACAAACTTCCTGTACCAACCAGTTGTCTTCTTTACAAATACCAGAGGCCATACTCACACTAGTTTAGACTAAAAAAGAAATTTCCAGCTGACACAGCTGGGAGGGGCACTATGGCAAAAGCTGAGATTTGGGGGCAGCACTCAATGTCTCTCAGACTAATTTTTTCCTTGTCTTTGCCCGACTTATGCACATGGGCTCTGTCCATGTGGCGGGGAAGGTGATTGTTTGCAGCTGAAACTCAGATTTGAAAAGGGGGCTTCTCGACATCAATATATCCATTTCAGAGAAGGCTTTGATTGTCCCTGCTTTGGTCCCAGGCAGAAGTAGAACACATGCCTAGTCCTATGGTGGGAGAAGTGGATGGCGTTACCAGGAGGCAAATAGGAAAGCCAGGTGGGCAAACAAAACAAAAATCACAGTATCTATAACACCTAAAGGTACCACGTACATGTGTGTGTGTTGGGAAAGCCCACGTCAGAAGGAGCCATGAACACAGAGTACTCAGGTGGGACCAGAGTCAGGCTTGACCTACTCACAGGAGGGTTATTACTGGGTGCGAATAATTTAGCTCCACTATGTCAGGCTCCGTGTTAGTCTAAGTATATCTCATATATATCATGTCTCATTCTTGCAATAGTCCTAAGAAGTAGATATTATTTGCCCCATTTTAAAAGAGAAGAGACAGAGGTTAAGCTCATGCAAGCAGTCAGTGACTTAGCCAGGTTTAAACTTGGGTCTTTTGGACTCCCGAGCGCCCGTTTTCCCCAAGGTCAAGCTGCCTCTTTAGAAACCACAGCTGAGAGCTTTCTAGATGGTTGCATTGAGCGCATTCTGGCTCCAGCAGGTGTGGTCTTGCAAGGAGGGGTAACCACAGCTTTCATGCCCTTCCCGGCTACATGCTTCCTCCGCTCTCCCAGTCCTACAGATCCTTGCTAGCCAATGGAGATAGGTAACCACTCTCAGAAATATATGGGCTTCTTCACCAAATGGCATTTCTCTAAAAATTGACACCCCAGTTGGTGACCCTGCCTGGAATTTTCTAGAATCTGGCCCGCTGGGTGAGAGGAAATGGGAATGAGGTGTTTGCAGGGACACTGGCATGGCAAACAAATCAAGAGGTGACATCTCTCACCTGAATCACAGACCTATCCGCAGCTGCTCACGGTTCTCTCTGCTTCTATGCTGCCCCCAACCCATTCAGCACTTCACAGCTAGCGCAACCCTCCTAAAATACCATTCCTCCCGCACCCACCCCTGCTCAGGGCCTCAGTGGCTCCCCTTTGCCCACACTCCTTACAGCAGCCTCCCAGGCTCCTCCAGACCTACGTCCCCACCTTCCACCAACTTCTGCAGCTTTCTCGCCCACCACTGCCCCTCACACTTGGGAAGGCAATAGACTCGGAACAACAGGAGAGCATGAACTGTATGTGGTTCCTTAAATTAATTAAAATTTACTACATTATTATTAAAATTCAGTTCCTTAGTCATACCAGTCACATTTCAAGTGCTTGATAACCTCTTGTGGCTACTTTACTGGACAAGGGGGATATAGGATGTTCCCGTCATCACAGAAGCTTCTACAGGCACCAAAGCCAGAGTCAGGAATACAGAAGCTTCTATTGGGCAGTACTGGCTTTGACAGTTACCTTCCCAAGGAAGCCCTAATCAAGGAATTATCAGTCTTGGCTGGGTGGCTCAGTTGCCTGGAGCAGCATCCTGTACCCCAAAAGGTCACTTGTTTGATTCCTAGTCAGAGCACATACCCAGGTTGCAAATCCATGTATGGGAGGCAATCGAATGTCAGTATTTCTATGTCTCTCTCCCTTCCTCTCTCTTTAAAATTAATAGGCATACCCTCGGGTGAAGATTTTTTTAAAAAAATTTTTTTTTAAGGAATGTTATCAGCTTTAAAGGAATCTAGGATAGATTTGACCTATTCTGTGACTCAGCAAATATTTGGCACCTACTATATTCCAGGCTCTGGATACGCAGTAGTGGGAAGAGTAAAAAGGCCATTGCTAGGGAGTGTCCTAAGTGCCTCCGTCCAGACTGGAGGAACCATGAAGGATTCCTGGAAAAGGGGACATCGAAGCACAGAACTGCAGGCTGAGGAGGCAGTAGCCAGGCTGAGTCACTCTCCAGACCATGCGCTTTTTGGCGGCCCCTTATTATAGACTGTCCCCACTGCCAAGACTGCGCCTTCTCTCTTTTTCCCCAAGGAGGGAAGGCATGGAGGCTAGCTAGTTCCTTAAACTTAGCCCCTCAACTGGGAGCGGGTCCCTGTAGGGCCGCTCCGCCTGCGTCAGGCTGCAGAGAGTGGAGGAGAGAGGCCACTCCCATCCAGGATCTGAGGAGCCTGAGCTGGCTAACGGAGCTGAGAGAGGCTGTCTTGGGGGTCTTCTGTCTCTCTGCTTCTGCTACAGCCTCCAGCTGCTAATCCTCTCCCCACATACATATACAGCAGGGCTCACCCTCCCCCAGCCCTGTGCCAGCTGCTCCGTCCTGATCCTTTTCCTGGTGCCCTGGCAGAAAACTACACCCCTGCTGTGACTTGAAAAGTGCTTATCTGGGAGTGAGGAGTTAGAGAGTACTGCCCATCAGGCCTGGCACGGTCCTGGTCGTTTTACGAGGAAAGCCTCACTTAAGCTTCCTGATCCTGGGATCATTGGGTAGGGACGATTATCTTCACCTCTGTAACAGAAATCTAGACCCAGGCAACAACCTCGGCCACCTTCAACGCCCTACGACCAAGCCCCGACCGAGGTCGCCCTCTCCGCCCCTCTTCCGTTCCCAGCCTCGCACTCGCATTCCGCAGGGTCATCCGGCCCTCCCCCCCTTGTCTCCGCTGGGATCCCCCGCCTCTCGCCCGGCCAGAGCCCAGGGTCCTTCGGGAGGCATGGCTTGGGGCCGAAATGGGTAGGGGATGCAGGCCCTGCGTGCCAGCCTGCGCTCTGGGCGCCGCAGAGTCGCCCTTTGTTTCTGCGGAGTCACAGTCACATGGCGCTTCCGGCACCCGGTGTTCCCGGCGCCGCGCCAGGCCCGGACCACCCCCATCCTCGGCCCCGCCCCTCCCCACCCCGCGGCCCAGCCCGGAGCCCGGAGCCCCGGAGCGCGCTGGGCCTCGCGGGTTGCTCCCGCAGCCAGCGCTGCTCGGACGGCCTCTCCTCTTGGAGCGCCAGTGCTGGGCCATCTTTGGCTTTGTACTCCTAGGGCTGGCGAGCCCAGTATCCAGTGGTTTCATGGGGTCCGCCTGTACTTAACTCCATTCTCACCATTTATGGAGTGGCAGATACTCCCTCCCTCCCCTTCTCTGACCACCACAAACAAAGCAAAACAAAAACCAGCCACCCTGGAGATGGTCCTTAGCATAGACCATCTAAGGGCAACCGCTCTAGCCAGTGGGCAGAAATGGGGCTGGCCCACATTGCCTGAGCCTGGCCACCGCTGCGGTGCCACTCCCAGGACTAGTCTGTGCTGTGGGACACTTGAGAACCTTGGAGGCTCGTGAAAGCCACCTCTGCTTCACTCAGCAAATTCAAGAATTTATTCAGTATTTATTGAAAGCAAAATACATGCATGGCAACCAAGTCTCTCCAAGATGCCAGCCCTGTGTTAAGCCTTCCAAAGAATGTGAGAGGATTCTCTTTGTGTCCCAGCAGTGCCTGTGCTGTCCCCGAGAGGCTCAATTTCCTCTGAGGAGGCCTTCATCCAGAGCTATTTGGGGCACCTTAGCAAGAGGGTGGACATAGCTATCCCTGGGGCCTGGGAAGGGGGGCCCCCCCTGACCCTTGCTTCCCAGCCTTGGAGAGGCAGCGGGGAGCACAGGGCGGGGCTCCGGAGGAGCATGGGTGAGAAGGGGTCTCGGGGACCTTTCTGTCTCTGGGCAACCTTTTCCAGTGCCTCAAATCGGGGCCTGCAGGAACTGGGACAATGGATAGGAAGGGCCTGGAGGGGTGGAGACCTGGGAGAGGACAGAGGGAGACAGCCCAATGAGGGCAGGGGGATGGGGCAAGGAGAAACTGATGGGGCCAGAGGTGGGCGCGGACGTGTGCTGGAGCGCATCAGGGCTTGGTGGGGAAGAGCAGACAGGTGAGTTGCCGGCTGCCGCTTTGTCTGTCCACAAGGGGCAGGGGGTGCTGCATGTAGTGCTGGATCATGGCAGCCACAGAGGAGAAGCGCTGGGCAGAGAGGCAAGGCATCGGTGAGTCCCTGGAGCCTCATGCTAAGAAAGACTTCCTGAGGGAATTGCTGGCCTCTGGCGAGAGCGCTTGTTGATATTTTCTAAGTATTTTCCTTCCTGTTTGTTTCATGAAGCTCCACTGCCACTGTGCTACCCAATTCCAGGCCTTGTACAGCTTACCTGTGACTACACCCCGGGGCATGTTGTTGGCCAAATCGTATTTCCAAGGCCAGATGGAAATAACCCTGGGGACTTGCCTCTGCGCCCCCCCCCCCGCCCCCCGTCCTCCAGCATGCGGAGCGGAGCAGCAGGTCACTGTCTCTGGTTTGCAGCCTAGCAAGTGCTGGGCGCCAGTTGAATCCCAGCACAGACAGGAGTCTGGACTACCTGAGCCCTGCCCTCTTCCCAGCTAATTCCCTCCAGGTACAAATGCCCCCACCTAGGCCCTGTGCAGACGGAGACGTGCAGGAGGAAGCGCCTTCCCCAGAGGAAGGCAGACCTCTGGGGAGGGATTCGGGTCACTGGCCACTGCCCTTTCCAACCCACTCCAGAAAAACACAGAATGTGGGTTTTTCCCTAGGCAAATACCCCTGGCTAGGCCCAGGGCACTCCTTTGCTGTGTCCCTGTTCCCTTCAGTCCCCTACCTCTTCCAGCACCCACCTGCTCATGGTTCCTGCTCTCCCGGCCCAGGGCATAGGGGCGCCCACCATCCAGCAGCCGGATGGGAATGTTGAAGACCCGGCCATGGAGAAGCACTGCCAGGGTGAAGGGCTGGGAGCCATGAGGGCCTGAGCTGGGGCGCACGGTGTAGGCCCCGTCCTGTGGAGGAGACCCATCCATCAGCCTCATCTGCCAAGCGTCCACCTGCGGCCCTGACCATCGATGGCCATCCCCCGCCCCTTGCCCCACTGTCCCTGCCCGCTCAGCCAGCCACGGCCCATGAGCAGAAGGGGTCCCTGAGAAGGCCCAGGGACTCTGAGGTTGCCCACCTTTTGGCATCGGAGGAGGGCACTCTCGACAGCATGACGGTCACAGTTCCCTGCGTACCAAGGCTGACCCAGCAGGCTGCCGTCCTACACACATATACACACACACACACACACACACAGGCACTCAGAGGTGTGTGTGCTGGCAAACTGGATGGGGGTGGGGAGCAGAGAACCCCAGGTGCAGTTATTTGTGCTCACAGCTGCCTTCCCCAGACTGAGCCTGTGTGCGCTGAACAAAGATGTGTCGGTGCCTGGTACCCAGCATGGTGCCACGCACACATGTTTAATACATGTTCCTTGCACTGGTGGACACCAGCCCCAAAGGATTCCTTGCAGGCCTCCTCCCCAGCCCTCTCCTAGCCCCTCCTCACCTCAGCAGCTGAGATGCTTCTGATGGGAGCTGCAGAGGAAAGAGAGGAGCTCCTTCCTGCCGGAAGAAGCAGATTATAGAGCTGGGGCTGGGAGGGGATTAGACAAAGGAGGCTTGGGGCCCAGCTGCAGGGGTGGGGAAGGGGGAGGGGGCGAAACCCAAAGCAGGGCACCCAGGGTTTCACCCCTCCTCTCCAGGTCTTGGTCTCCGGTAGGACCTACCAGCTAGGCCACACGTGGCCTCCAAATGAGGGGTAGCCTTGAGGTACAGACGGGGAGCCTCCTGCTTTGATGCAGACCCTGGAAAGTGCCCAAAGGGGTCTCCTCAGGCCTGCTCTCAACTGGAGTCAGAGCTGCTGGGACCGTCTCAGCAAAGTGGGGCATGAGCTGTGAGCTCAAAGTGGCTGTGAGCATGTCTGTGACCACAGAGCTATGACTAGGGTGGGACCTGGCAGGACTCCCCGGGGTTTGTGCTAAAGATGTCTCTACTTACCTTTAGAGGTGGCATTCAATGCTCCCTGAGACACAGGAGGTCTGGTCAGAAGCAACTCAGCCCTGCAGGCCTGCTTCTCTGGCCTGAAGTCCCCCCCCGACACTCCCTCCCTCCCAGCTCACTTCCCCCCTGACCACAAGCCTCTCACATTCTGGGCTTCCTGGGGGGCTATGGTGGGCCTGTGGGAGGAAAATTGGGGAACAGAGGTCAGAGCCTTTACTCCCTTCAAAAAGAAAAGCCCAGTAAACCCAGAGATCCAGTGTTAGGGCTGGGAAGCCTGAGCACATCTCTCTCTCTCTCTCTCTCTCTCTTTCTCTCTCTCTCCCTCTCTCTCCCCCTCCCCTCACACACACACACACACACACACACACACACACACCCATGATAGGACACTTACCTGTGTACTACTGATGTCCTTGGCAGAGGGACTGGGAGCATCGGGTCCTGGGAGCTCAGAGTCTGAGGCAAGGCAAGGACTAAAGCAGAGGGCAGGCCCCATTGGGCCGGGAGCGAGGTGAGGACACCTCCTGGCCGGGGAGGGGCCGAGGACAGTGGCGGGGCCTGCTGCTTCTCTGCGGCCTGGGCTTCCTGGGAATCCTACCAACCAGGCTGCAACAGCTGGGCGGTCCCCCACACAGGCCTTGTTCTATGGGGTCCCTCCCTTGTGGCCACAGTGGGAGTCAACCGGGACCAAAGGTGGAAGTATGTGTGTCTGAAGGCAAATGTGTGTTGGTGGGGGTGGTAAGAGAAGACGAGGGGAGAAAATGGAGTCAGAAGAATGTGTCACAGTGCGGGCAGCTGAGAGCCTCAGGGCATGATGGATCTGGGGCGGAGGGAGGTGTTCACCTGGATGGGGCTCACACTCCAGGTAGATGTCCTCATCAGGTTTCTTTGCAGAGCCTGGCACCTAAGGCAGGGAGGGATGTGTGGGACCCACGGTTTGACAGGTGAATGGGAGGGGGGCGGAGCCGTCACTGGGAGTGGGTGAGGCTATTGGCATCTCACTCCCCACTCACAAGGTGAACCTCTTTCTGGGAACCAACAGGGATGATTAAAACTGTTCTTTTGCCTGGAAGAGGGACGCCCCACAAACATCTTCCCTTTCAGAGGTGCTCTCAGGCTCCAGCTCTCAGAGACTGTGGGTGACCAGGAGGGGCTCTGGGCAAGGCCACCCCCAGTAGCTGTGGGTAGCCACCCCTGGGACAAGTGGCTTATACCCTGCCAGGGGCCTGCGGCCAACAGGGAGGGACTCAGCTCTGGGCCTTTTTCTGTGGTCTCAGGGACATTTCCTGGCTCTCCCAGGCACCCCACACGCCAGAGCCCTAGAGCGGGAGGCGGGGACGGAAGGGCTGCTCACCACTTGGGCTGACGCAGTCCACTCTGGGCGGGAAAGGAGAGGAGCATCAGTCATAAGCGTGGGGAGAAAGGAATTGAGGGAAACGTGGGCTTAGGAAGAGAGGAGCATCCTTGGAACTTCCCTGGGGGTATCCTCAGAACGAGCATTGAGGCCCCAGTGGAAAGCCACCCTCGCCACCCCCCTTTCCAACCCCGGGGGGCCGCCTGGCTTGGCCTCCCAGCTGATTTGCCAGGCTTGGCTCCAAATGCCTTTGGGCTGCTCCAAAAATCAAACCTCCCTCAAGGTTATGAAGGTTCACCAACCACTGCGCATGTAAAACATAAATGTGCCTCAGGTCAGCTGTCTGACCTTGGGCAGGAGGGGGCTGCCCCTCCGGGGGCCACTTTCAGACAAAAACGTGCTGGCGAAGGTCCCTTCCTGGTCTGACATCCAGGGTTCTGGCATCACGGGCCTCCAGGCATGTACTTTATGGGAGAATCTCTGAACAGTGGTGGCAATAGTGACATGAATGGAATCAGAGGGCCCCTTTGATGGGGAACGACAATCAGATGTATCTCAATAGTGAGGGTCCTTCAGGCAGAGCCAGGCTGGCTGTCAGGCCTCTTCAGCTGGGATGCCCCTCGCCTGACTGGAGCCCACAGCGGGCTCTGCTTCTATGTGGCCTCAGGCAAAGCATTTCATGTCTGGGGCCTCAGTCTCCTCAACTGCCCACCTTGGGGGCAATCGGCAGAGCAGGGGAAAACAAGGACCAGAGCTGGGGGAGTGCAGTGACCAGGTGCAGCATGAGACCAACTGTAAGGCAGCTCAGCTCTACCCTTGTGCGGCTGGATTCCCCTCCTCAGGGTAGAGGAGTGTGTAGGCCCCGGAAAGAGAGAGGATGTCCCCATTACCTCGCCCCCCAGAGGGCTGTCCCTGCTTCAAGGCCTCCTGCAGGCTCAGTGCTGCCTTCAGCTGTGGGCACAATGAGCGGTGAGGCAGAACCAGGAGGGGCGGGGTGTGGAGGGGAAATTGAGGCATGGGGCGGGCAAGGATGGCAGGGCCACTGCAACACAAGAGTTAAGGTACAAAGGGGGCCACTCTTCCCTTTGCCTCAATTCTATGGCTCTTTCTTTGTTGTGAATCTGCCCTTGTTTTTCTTTTTATTCCAATAAAGTAAATGGTGAAAGCGGTAGCTTTCAAAGCCCATAGCAGGCTCATGCGGGAATGAGAGCTGGCAGTGAGTGGCAGCTGAGTGGGGGATTTCGTCACTCTTCAGCGGGGAAGGGTTCTCAGGCCCCAGGGTCCAGGGAGGGGCAACAGAGCCTGTTTTGTCTCCTTCCCCCCCCCCCCCCCGCCCCGACCTTCCCATCTCTGGCCAGAGGGGTGAGTGCTGGGTGATGCTGACTGGGAGGATGAAAGGACCAGGCCAGACAGATGGGAGCAGCAACCATTCACAAGGTTCAGGCTTCTGGTGCATCTAATTTTTCAGAGGCCTCTTGAGTGCAGATGTGGGAGGGTCTTGCAAATGAGATGCCTCTTAGATATCTATTCCCTGGGAAATGGTAGCCTGGGGTGGGGCCGATGGGGAAGGAGGAGCTTGTGCAAGCGGAGGCTATTCACCTTTTCTGACTCGGGCTCCAGTGCCGGTGGCTTGGATGGGCCCAGGGGTTCAGAGTGATCTGGAAGAGACCCCAAGCATTGTGAGTCACTAGGTTCCTCCCATGGAGGTTCCCATTTTCCTCCCGCCCCCACCTAGCCTCTATTTCCTCCCCCCTCCTTCTTTGCCCTCCTAGCTCACTGGCATCCTGACAGCCCTGTCTCCATGGCAACTGGAGGCGGCCAGCTTCCCTGCCCCCATCTGGCCCAGCCTGGAGAGCTGTGGGGGTGGGATGCCAGTGGGTTCTCTGGCCACCTCTACACTTGCCCTGAGTCTGCTGGGATCTCAGAGAAGGAACGTCAGGCCCCTGGGACCAAGCCGGGCCTCCTGCTTTCCCACTGTTGCCGTGGTTACACTGCCCCTCCAGACTCCTCTCCCTTTCCCAACTTCCGCCTTCCTTCTCCCCTCCTCCTCCCTTCCTTCTTTCCTCCATTTCTCTCTCTCTGCTCAGCCAAAGGCCCCAGTACCCACCAGCTGAGGCCTCCCTTCACTGCCCAGCAGACACAGAAGAGATCAGGCCTGCAGCCTTGCCCTTGTGGGGACCCTCCTGCCCTGCCCGACCACCCAAACTTTCTGCCTCCACTTCCCAGCCCTTACCCAGGTACAAAGAGTCCTCTTCGGTGACAGGAAGGTGGGCAGGGGCCAGCTTCCTGAGCAGAGCCTCACAGGGGGGCAGCTCATATTCATCTTCCTCCTCTTCCTCTTCTTCCTCCTCTTCCTGCGCCTTTGAGAAGGGGTAACGTGCACCCGGGAGGATGGGAGAAGCGCAGGAAGAGTGGTGGCCCCTGCCTCCCCCGCCCCCAACCCCAGGCTCAGCAGCTGGACTTACCCTGTGTCTCCAGGTCCCTGGGGTAGGCAGAGGAGATGGGCAGGGGATATCTGTTCTCCAAACTGAAGAGTCTGGACAGGAGACCGATGAGACTGGCCTCATCTTCTCCCAGCGCACCCCCCCCCCTTTGTAGCACAATGACTTACTCTCTCTCCCCAACATAATAAACCATCTGCACTTGTACAGCAGGCCTCAGTGCTTCGTTCAGCTCAAAGGAACCATTCATGACGGGCCTTTCCAACACGGCAGCCGGGCCCGTGACGGGCATTGCGGAACAAGGGCGCCTCCCAGCTAGCTGCCTGTTGCACCTAAGCCAGTCCCCTACCCCCTGCACTCCTGATTCTCACCAAGACGGGTGGCAGAGCTAGGCCACAGTGACTCAGCAGTGCTGGACTATGATGGGCATGGATGGAGAAGAGGCAGCTCAGGGGAGACTCAAAATTGCAAGGGACCCTGTTCTGCCAGACCCCTCTTGCCCACTGTGCCACTTACCTACACATTTGGAGGGTGGGAGGGGTGGCCCCGACCTGTAATCAGATCATAGTCAACTCTGCCCAAGCGACCCTTGAGTTTTTGTCAGCCAGGCACTGCACTATCCCAGGACATTCACATCCATGACAATGTGAACAGAGCCCCTTGGAGCTATGTGACAGCAGCCTGGGACAGCACAACAGGAGTTAAGAATATGGGGACAGAGCTAGTGTCCCTGGGTACAGGGCTGGGTGCGTTAGTGCCCAAGGGAAGCTGGTAGTGGGTGAGCCCTCGTGCTGACAGGCCGGTGGAGGCATCTCACTGGGTGGCCAGGGAGGGCCCAGGCAGAGCCAGCACAGCTCCAACGATGGCCGTGTCCAGGAGAGGAGTGGCGAGGTGGAGACAGGAGAGAAGGGTGGGAGGAAAGCGAGGAGCTGAGTACTCACCGGGGCTTGCTTCCCCTGAGCTTGTCCTGGAAAGAGTCAGGGAGGGGGATCGGAGGTGGTCAGTGCAGCTGGATGCCTTTCCCTGCCCAGAGTCTTGGGCTCCCAGGGGTGGGCAGGTGTGTGGACCTGGGGCTGCCCCAGAACCATGTCTCACCATGGCCAAGGTGAAGGAGCTGTGCCTTCCTAAAGTCCAACCTCTGCCACAAAGGGCCTGGGGACAGAGCCCCTATTGTTCCCATCATTTGCATCTTACAAGCACCTGGAAGGTGGGCCTGCTGTGGCTTCCAACCCCAGACCAACTCACCCACTGCCACTCCCAGGGTCCAGCCCCAGCCCCCGCCCCCCTGCCGCCCCCTCTTCCCCCCTCCCCCCACCCCACATGGCCTCCCACAGTTGTGCTCTCCAGCCCCTCTGCCCCATGGGAGGAGGAGCTCTGCCCTCCACACCCAGCCTGCAAAGTTAGACATGGGTTCAAAGGTTTCTTACAGCTCTCTGATCAATTTCCCCTCCTCCTAGAGGCTCAGATGCTCCTGGTCAGCCGGACCAGGCCCTTTCCCCATTTACAGAGGACGTGACATTAATGGGCAGATCCAATTAAAAACAGGAAATTGTCCTTGCGGACACTTTTCTTAAATCCTTTATGCCTGCTGTCATTTGCTGGTGAGTCGTGATCGATGACCAAGGAAATGGAGGTTAGTAAAAAGCTCAGAGATGTGCAGTCCTATTTAATTTTACAGCTTCCTTTTCTGATGGGTATATTTGTTCAGACAGTAGGTATTTATTGAATATCCATACACTATACACCAGTCGCTGTGCTGAAGATGCTGTAGGAAAACTAAACAGACAGGCATTACATGTGTATTTCCTCAAGGGATTCTCACAATAGCCTCATGATGCAAGAACTAGTTTTATCCCTGCTTTTTAGATGAGCAAACTGAGTGTGTGAGTCAGCTCGGGCTGCCGTCACAGAACACCACAGACTGCGTGGTTTAAACAACAGAAATCTATTTTCTGTTCTGGAGGCTACAAGTGCAAGATCAAGGTGTCATCAGGGTTGGTTTCTGGTGAGAGCTCTCTTCCTGGCTTGCAGACAACTTCATGCTGTGTCCTCACACGACCTTTCCTCTGCGCTTGCATGGAGAGCGATCTCTGGTGTCACTTTCTCTTTTTTAAACTAATTAGCCGATTTATTTATTTATTTTTAAAATGTCTTTAATCTTCACCCGAGAACTTTTTTCTCATCGCTTTTACTTTTTTAAAGATTTTATTTATTTTTTTAGAGAAAGGGGAAGGGAGAGAGAAAGAGAGAGGAACATGGATGTGAGAGAAACATCGATCAGGCTCTCATACATGCCCAACCAGGGACCGAACGCACAATCCAGGCCTGTGTCCTGACTGGGGATCAAACTGGTAACCTTTCATTTTGCTGGATGTTGCTGGATCCTACTGAGCTACACTGGTCAGGGCTCTCATCAGTTTTAGAGAGAGAGAGGAAGGGAGAGAGAGGAACATGAATGCAAGAGAGAAGCATTGATTGGTTACGTCCTGTACGTGCCCAAACCAGGGATCACAACAGCAACCTATGTATGTGCCCTGACTGGGGATAGAACCGGCAACATTTTGGTTACAAGATGATATTTCAAACAACTGAGCCACACTGGCCAGGGCTGGTGTCACTTTCTCTTATAAGGACACCAGTCCTGTTGAATCAGGACTCATCCTTATGACTTCACGTAGCCTTAATTACCTCCCTAAAAGTTCTATCTCCAAATACAGTCACACTGAGGGCTAGGGCTCCAACATACGAATTTTGTAGGGACACAATTCAGTCCATAGCCTGAGAGACTCTGAGAAGTTGAGTGATTTCCCAAGGTGATGTAATTAGTAAGTGTTGAAGGTGGGATTCAACCCAAAGTTTGCCCAGCCCAGTATGCAAACAACTGAGCCATCCTGCACTTCATCTAGGACTGGGTCCTGACCCAACTTTCCTGTGATGGACTTAGATGTACGGCACTTGGATTTCCTTAATGAGCCGGTGACTTCCAGGTGCTCTGTTACCTGAGTGAATTTTGGAACTTTGACTTCTGGGAAGAGTTGGAATAAAAAGAAGGGATGGAGCCAGGTGTCTGATTCCGTTTAAACCAAGGAATGAAGAAACACAGACCGGGATCATGAATATAAGAACTTCCTAGGGCACTGTAACTTTCCTTTGTTTATTATTTTGGTGATGTCCTGGCTGCTGGCACAAAGGAGAACTGAAGGCCTTGTGCTTACATCTGTGGAGGCCATGGTGCTGGGGGCACTTGGGGGAGAGTGCCATGGTTCGAACTGCCACAACATTCAGAGATGGAAGACCAGATGATTCCTGAGACCTGCAGGTGAAAGGGCACTTAAGAAGCCAAGGGTCTTTGGGGTGGCTTAACAGGGAGCCCATTTGGTACAGTGGGAAAAAGTGAAAAAACAAAAGAAGAAACAGTCCAGGCCTGGAGCCAGGGCTGGTGTCTCCTCCCTGACCTCCACTCCCCAGCTGACCTTTGTTCCACACTTGGACCATAAGGCAGGGGGCTACTAAGCTCACCCAAGGACCTCCTATGGAACCAGAGTCAGCAAATCAAAGGGCTGCTTTCCATACGTGCCCACACCGGGAACCTAGGTATATACCCTGACCAGGAATCGAACCCTCAACCTTTCTGTTATTGACGATGCTCCAACCAACTGAGCCACACCAGCCAGGGCAATCAATACAGATTTCAAGGAGACTTCACATACCACCCCACTGCAAACACCAAACTGAATGGGTTTCCCAGTCCATAGTGCCTTCAATTCAGCCCCACCCTCCCTCTGTTCAGGGCTTTGCATAGGCAAATGCCAGGGCCTGGGTGAGCCAAAGGGCCCCAGGAAGAGGCTGGAATCCATGTCATCTTGGTAGGGTCACTAGCCTGGACAGATCAGGGAGAAGGAAAAGGAAAGGAGGCCTGCCTCACGGCTTTGTGCCCCTACAGCCAGTCCTGCAGGCCTGCTTCTTGCTAATTGCACAGGTGGATTTGGACATCCTCTTTCTCCAGCTTTGGCACAGGATTGCTTTGTGCACCACCTCAGTTATTCCTGTGGGTTGAGTTACTAGGAGAATTTCTGGAAACACAGTTTGAAGGTTTCAGTGCCCTACTGTCTGGCAGCACACGACTGCCTGTTCTATGGTCCTTCCAAAGCACAAAGTGATTGTCCACATTTTTCAGATCTCACGTTCTGATTTCTACCGAGAGCAGCCTATAATTTACAGGCCCAGGGTAGTCTAAGTCTACCTTAAGGAAACAAACATCTATCTAAAGAAGTATTTCCCTAGTTGCTTGATCATAAGAATCACTGGAGGACTTGTTAAATGTCTTAGACTCCCAGGCCTTCCTGAAATCTTAGAACTGGATGCTCCAGGAGAGAATTAGGAATCTAGATTATGTCTAACAGCACCCGAGATCAGTCTTGTGATCAGTCAAGTTTGAGAAAGGCTGTTCTGTAGGAGTCTGAGGAGATGCAACTCCTAGGACACTTTGAGCATCACATACAGCCTTTAGCTCATTGGGAACACAAGGATCCCAGCAGAGAAGGAACACGACACAGACCTTGCTCTCCAGGTACCACTATGAGTGATGGAGACGGCAAACCCGAGGAGAGGGCCAGTTTCTCTGGGCTCCCATTTCCTCCTGTGGAAATGGGGATATTAATAAGGCGCTCCTCCTGGCGGGGGCGGGCCGAATGACATGAAAGCATGTGAAACACACGGTGCATGCACAATAAATGTCAGCTCTTTCTGAGCGGTGGTGCTATGGCAGGGGTGGCTGTCAGCAGACAGAGAAGGTGGTGATGTCTAACTGGGATCCCTGGTGTGAGCGCAGTAGGGAGCACTGTGAGGAGGAGTGGTTTCTGAGGACCTGAAGGAGGACAGGTAAGCAGGCTGTGGCTAGAGGTCCCAGATGTGAGGGGTGCGGCCCGTAGAACAGGAGCTGCTGAAATAGAGGCGGTTGGACCCCTAGAGAACTGAAGGGGACATCTGCCTTCCTGCATTTCCATTCTCCATTAAGAATCTTGCTTTCTTTCACAGAACCCAGACGAGGCCTCCCAGCCTCCCTTGCAGCTGGGGTTGAGGCATTCTGCCAATTGGATGCCCTCGTGCTAGACTTTGAATGTGAAGCAGGCACCAAGAGGACTCCACTCTGAGGAGAAGTGACAGCTATATCCTGTTTCCAGAGACCAAAGAGACTGAGACCCCAGTGGTACCACCCAGGGCCTGGGTCAGTTGTGCTGGCAAACGGCGGTGTTTGTGCCCAGAGGTGCCTCCACGAGGCCAGCGTGGCTGTGTTCCTGACTGGTTCTCTAGCCCTTCCAGAAAGGCTGTGAGCTACAGAATTCTTTCAATCAATTATTTTTCAGCCTAAACTAGAGCTCTAATTTAGAGGGGAAAGTGCAGCATCAGTGAGATCGCCACGTGGACGCCAAGAGTCTCAACTCTGCAGCCAAGTTTATGTACCTCCTGGGAAAGGGAGGCCAGGTAGAAATGTGTCATAGCTTTACATTTCTATACTCTTGAGACATTTCTTATGACAAACATTAACTTTTTATGATTAAAAATATTGGTCCATCTCTCCCTCTCTTTCTTCCTTCCCCTTTTTCTGAAAATAAATAAAATCTTTTTAAAAAATCAGTCAACACAAATATCTTTTTTTTTTAACTTTCACCCAAGGATATTTTTTCATTGCTTTTAGAGAGAGGGGGAGGGAGAGAAACAGCAACATGAGAAAAAAAACATTGATTGGTCACTCCTCCTACGTGCCCAGACCGGCAACCTGCGTAAGTACCCTGACCAGAAATCCAACTTGCAACCTTTCTGTTAGAGACAATGCTCCAACCAACCAGTCCACACCAGCCGGGGCAATCAATACAGATATCTAACCTGAGGAAGTGCTGGGAGCAGAATGTCGTGGGGGCAGGTTGGGCCCTGACAGTGGGAGGTGAGGCCAAGGGCAGGGTCTGGGAACATGAGGCCACCGCAGGACAGCCAGGTTTCCCTTGGCCAGAGAAGCAGAGGGAAAGGGTGCTGAGAATACAAAGACTCTTCTCCTAGAGGAGTGGGGATCCATTGGGGCAAGTGGAAGGAGTTGGGTAGAAAGAGGGACAGGCTTGGAACAGGCCTGAACATGAGGGCATGTGGAAGGGAGACCCTGAGAGTGAAGAACTAGGTCCTGCAAGGGGTAAGGGAGAATGAGGCCCTCAGGGTATTTTTACCTGAGCAGGTGTTTAAGCTCCAATAAAACTCTGTCTGTGGTTGGGTTAGTTAATGTCAGGAATAATCTTGAAGCAAGGTGGTTGGCAATAGAGAGAAAAGCGCAGTGAAGGGGACTGTTGGGGCTGGTTTAGCACCAGCTGGCAGAGACCCCTCTTCCTCTGCAGCCCACTGTCCTCCCGGGCCTGCTGAGTCAGCTTACTTGGGTGGCAGCTGTAATGGGAGACGGAGGACTGATGGGCAGGTGGACAGAGGCCCAGACAAGCTCCCTAAGAAGGGTCTCTGGCTCCTATTCCTCCTTGGTGCATGATTTTTTTTTTTTTTTTTTTTTTTTTGGCTGCAGCTTCCGAGATTTTTAACAGACCCTTCCTCTATCTCTCCTGAATGTGGACACAAAACTTGGTGTGTAGTTTGTTTTTGTTTTTCTGAGTAGTATGCTAGCTTTCAGTAGGTTCCAAGGGTTAGGGTAGCGGCTGAAAGTGCAGGTTGGCTCTCCCTGGCCTCCAGGGTGAAGTGCAGGAGCTGGCACTGCTCTGTTCCCTCAGCCCCTACGGTGGGGGCGGGGGCGGGGGGGCTTTGTTTCACACCCTCTGCCCTTCCCTGTTCTGGAACTTTTACGCCAGCAGACTGTGTCCTGGGACAGCTCTGCCTAAAATCCTTGAGTGACTGCCCATGACTCCTTGAATGGAAACCAAATGCTTCTTGTTGCCTCGTAAGATCAGGCCCCTACCTGCTTCTTTAGCCCCAGCTTCTCCATTTTTTCCCGTGGACTCACTAACACCCTCCTTCTCTCTGTGGTTCCACAGCAGGAGCCCCAGGTGGCCCATTCTTCACCCTATTGGCTTAAGGAAATTTCAGTTGGGAGAATTTAGATCTTTAAAGGAAGGTGCTCTTAATGTATAGCAAAACAGTAAAAAAATTAAAAAAAGGACTCTTCTATATGTATACTTCAAAAACCATTTACCATCCCTCCCAAATCCACTCTCCTTATGTCTGCACCTGGCCGTGTCCTCTTCATAGGTGGCATGAGCACACTCTCCTTCCCCCAGACCCAAGCCCTCTCCCCTCCACCTCAGCTCCTTATTTTACAGATCGCCATAGCTCCCTCAATTGCTCTTAATCTTGATCTGTTAGCCCCCTGCCCAGATTCTATCCAGGAAGGAGCCCAGGAGGTGCCCCAGTATTTGGGAAGCACGGGTAAGGTGTAAAAACATAGCGTTACATGGTTCTTTCAAGCCCTAAACAGGCTCCTTCTTTAAAAAAAAAATTGATCTCAGAGAGGAAGGGAGAGGGAGAGAAGCATTGATGTAAGAGACATTGATTGGTTGCTTCCCCTACGCTCCCTGACCAGGGATCAAAACTGCAACCTTTCTGATAAACAGGATGAAGCTCCAACCGACTGAGCAACCCTGCGAGGTCCAGGCTCCTTCTTATCTGGGGGCTATGCACCTTCCGTTCTTCTGCTGGAACACTCTGGCCCCTTCCTTCATTCCATAGCTTAAGCTTGGGGTCCCAGACCAGAGCAGTCTGGCCCCCACACTCTTGGGGCTCCCACCACAATTAAACCTACAGATTTATTTCAGGACTGAACTATAGACTCATGCTCAACTGTAAGCTTTCTAAATGGGTAGCAACTCTGTCTGTGGTTCACTGCCAGATTCCAAGAGCCCAGCCCACAGCTTGGCTCTCACAATATATCTATTGCAGCTGCGGATTCAAATCTTACTGAAAGCCCTCCTCCCCACAAACATCCTTGGTTTCTGTCTTCTAAAAGGCCCATAGCTTTCTCCTTTCTTGTCCATTGGACACCAGCCACCAGACCTAGAGCGAGCAGTGTCCAGAGCCCCTTTCCCTGTTACCTGCAAATACCCGCTTCTCTCACTGCAGACACATTACCAAGGACTCCTCTCCTGGTACCTTTGACGCATCTGGCCGGCACCATACTGGGTCCTTTCCTCTACTTACCTTCCTGAGTGTGGAGGGAGGCGCACATACTCCTCCTCGGCATTCCACCCCCTCCCCAGTTCCCCTACTCCCAACTCCCTGGTCGGTTGTAATATGGCTCTGCTTAGGCTTCCTTCTTGTAGAGGCCGGTCGCCTGGCCTCTCCTATTCCTGCTGCACCCTTGTTCCATCCTCTTAAGACTGGTGAGCCAAGAAAGACCAGAAAACCAGCCTAGCCTTCTCCCTCCGCCTGAGGAAAGACAAGACACTGACGTTCCCGGATGTGTCTCCATTCCCACATCCTTCCTTGACGGGTGTGGAGGGCCTGGCGATCACCTTCCCCACCTTTACCAACGGAAACCTGAGACTAAAGCGGAGATGAATGCTCGGCCTGCGGCCAAGGCCATCTCATTACGTACACAGGACCAAAGCCCTCAGTCCTTCACCCCAGTCCAAGACCTGAGCAGTGGTTCTACGGGAAAGGGCGATCCCTGGTGGTGACGGGAAGCATGGCGGCCTGTCCCTCACCTCCAGGACTGGCTGACAGGAAGGGGCGTGGCCTGCAGGACCACCAGACAGGCTTAAATATATCACCTGTTATTGATACAAAGACCTTGCTTCACACCTGGCAGAAATCTGCTAAGTCCTATACAAATGCAAGATTTAAAAAACATGCACAAACAATATTAAGGCAAAAATTCAACCATAATTCCACTATATGTGGAAGGTGTTATTAAAACGGTAAATTTTATGATTTTCAAATGCCAGGCTTTTTCCTTTTTATTGAATTTACTGGGGTGACACTGGTTAACAAAATTACACAAGTTCCAGGTGCACAATTCTGGACAGCACATCCTCTGTGCACTGTACTGTGTTCACCACCCCAATTCAAGTCTCTTTCCATCACCATTCATTCCCCCTCTACCATCCTCCACCTCCCCCCTTTAAATGCCAGTTTTAATAAACATTTATTAAAAACATTTATGTGCTAAAGATATCTCTGCTAAAATGGGAATCCTGCAGTTGTGCCAGGAAGTGTAACCAGTGCAGGTACAGGCACTTCCATGTACATAAAATGTATGTTCCTGAGTGGCTTGCAAAGTCCTGAAGGGGAAAGAACCCAACTTTTAGGACACTGTACCCTTGGCCGCATTCCCTATAATGACCTAATAACACTGCCCTGTGACTTTAAGTGCATCCTGCTGGCTGTATATTCAGGAAGCAGGGATGGGCATTAAATGGCTTCTGGCACATCGTGCGCAAGTAACACAGGCTCTTACTGATTCAAGGGTCGGGTGCGATGCCCTGGAATGCAGAAGCTCTCTGTGGAAGGAGAGAATGGGCTCTTATTAACGAGCCCAGGAACTGGGGCAATGCAAGTCTCCAAGTTTCTATGGTATCTATCTTTTGTGTCTAGTGGCAGAGAGGCTACTGAACAAAAGCCTGGTTGTCTTAACAGAAATGCTGGGAAAACCAAACTTTTGAGAACTTCCCAGACAAAAATGAGCAAGCTTAGAGACCACCTGACCAGTTATTATAACCCCAACTTCTGCTAGCAAGGGAATCTGAGCAATCCGTATATCCTCTCTGGAACTGTTGCTAACTTATTAAATGCAGTATTTCTAGGAAGTAGCTGGTCTCGAACTACCTACAGAAGAATAAAATCTCACTGACATTAGAAGGTCCTTGCTATAAACTGGGCCCGTTCCTATCAACCTTGATGGTGAGGGACATAGCAGTGTATGACCAGATCAGAAAGTGTAAAAGCTGAAAATGAGGTTGAAGACACAAAGTCCAATGTGTTGCTGGTCACTGTGGTGTCACTGCTCCCGATACAGGTGTAACCTGAATCCCCACTTGGGAGCCAGAAATCAGCTGAGAAGAGGCCTCTGGAGAGACTGCCCTGGGCCCGGCGGGTGAATGAAGCCGGGCGTCAGCACAGCTCATCCCACCGAACAGGCTGGACCCCCGAGTTCCTGACTTGCACTAAAGGGTTTCGGTAAGTCCTTTCTGCAGCGCCACAGAGGATCCTTGGGTAACTTAGGAAGTTAGGACGAGGGTTCTGGCGCCTGAGCCTGAGGTGTGAGCCCAGCACTTTGAGAGAGCTTAAAGTTGCCAGGTAAGGCTGAAGCGTGGGCCCGAACACCCAGACCTACATACCAAGCCGCCTAAGACCCAAGCCTTCCCTGGGTTTCTGCAGGAGCCCTGCAGGCCACCCAGGGGGCCTAATAGGCTTAGTCCCTCCTCAGGGTCGGGGACGCTCCTCCTTCCAGGAAAGGGAGTTCGCTCCAGGGGATGGAGGAGAGGTCAGGGAAGCGCCCTTGGCGTCCCCCCGAGTCGACAGACCAAAGCCCCCACCCACCATCACTTTCCCCCGCAGCCCCAGCCGAGAGACGAAGGCGGGGCGGGGCTCAGGTTCGCGACGGAGGGCTCGGGCCGGCAACCCCACGACGGAGCACTGTGTGCAGAGCCAGGGAGACGGGCTTGCGCGGAGAGGACACCCCCTTCTCCATTTCAGGGGAGCCCCCGCTCGGCGACAGAGTCCCCACCGCGCAGAACGCTGTCTTCCGGTCGTGAACGTGCCCCTCCTTGAGGCCTTGCCCCGCAGCCCAGGCCTGCTGGGAATTGTAGTTCCAGGGGGAGGGGCGGGGCCAGGGCGGCAGGGCGGGAGCGTGCGTGTGTCTGCGAGTGAGTCCCGACGTCCCCAGCGGCGTTCGTGTGCTCCTGGCGGCTCCCGTGGTGGTCCATGGAACCTGGGCTTGGCGCGGGGGTCGCAGCCCACGCCTGCTGGGATTTTAGTCCCTGCCTGGAAGGAGGAGAGGTCTTAACCGGGCCGAACCCGTAGTGGTGCCCCCCTTATCCCTCGTTTTCCTGCGTGCCTAAATCGAAACAGAAGGCCTGCAGCGGGGCTCTCCGCTCCAGCCGGACTCCCCATGGCCCGGACTCCCCATGGCCCTTCCCGCTGGCCCGCCGCCCTGCCATGTATCTGCAGGGGAATAATGCAGGATCCGCCTCTAGGTGGGCAAACTGAGGCACGAATAGAAAGACTAGAGAAAAAGGCCCAAGTGAGGCTTTGGCCTGGGAGGTCCAGACCAAGCACGATGGGTAAGGCTGGGCTAGGAGAGGGTCCAGAGCCCTTTCAGTTCTTAAAAGCCTGTGACCAATACTTTCTTAAAATGAGTAGAACCACCCGCAACTGGCTGGCACATCAGAACTGATAACAGGGTTGACAGATAAAAATTTTTATTTGCTAAATTTGACAACCCTACAGATGGAGTTTAGGGTGGGAGGAAGCATCTTGTGACCAAGAAAACCAAGAAATGGGGCAGTCCTGGCTCATAGGTTTGCGTTGAGGGTCAAATGGTGTTTGTGTGTGGGGTCGGGTATTTTGTAAACTGTAAAGGCCAGGGCATGAGTGACTACCAGGATCTGAACCTGAAGCACTGGAATAAGGGTTCTGGACCTTCAGGAGCCGCCCTTTAAATAGGAAGGTACAGTTACTATAATTATGTAAGATGTCCCCATTAGGAGAAGCTGGGTAATAGAGACATGGGAACTCTCTTTTTTTTAAGTGGGGTACAAATGTGTCAAGGACGGCATTGCCACTCAAAGGTTACAAAACTCCTTTGTTTTTTGTTTGTTGACAGCCTTATTGAGGGTACAATATTTTCTAGTTTATGCACAGTGTAACCACGACCACAATGTAATGTTAGGACATTTTCATCACTTCGGAAAGAAAGCTGTATCCATTAGCAGTCACCCCCTAAGAACCTCCCCGTTCCCTCCAGTTCTAGGCAACTACTTATCTTTCTAT